TGCTATGATTCGTTTGGATACTGCATGATGGTCGTTTATACAATAAAAAGCGCCCGCTTTATGTTTTGTTTTTAAAAGCAAAAACCTTAAATCGGTGTTTTGGATACCTTGAAGACGGTTTAATTTGGTAGGCTAGGTCAAGAACAATTCTGATAGTTTTTATTACAAAATCACTATTACCGCACTATTGCTACTTCACAGTCCAGATCCGACGTGTTAAATGTTGAGATTAGACTATAAATTGTTGGAGGTGCGAAATAACATGGTAATTAAAAACGCCATTGATTATAGTTCCTGTACACTCTAATAAACTCTATACACATTGTCTATGTGTTAACTATAAAACAATGTAAAGTACACTTTAACTATTACCAGCTTAGGAACTGAAATAATCAGCTTAGACCTGCCTTACAATTGGGTACAAATACAACATATGTAATAATATTCCCCACGCAATTGGTTTAAAAACGTAAACGCTGATATTAAGATTATCGTTAGACAGTTGACAGGGCTACATATCGGGTGGAAACACAAAATACAAAAAAAAATGTGTGGTTACAGGGAAATTATAGAAAACATTCACGGACGCTATCAATGCAGTATGAATGGTTATTGGGATACTTACGGTTAAAGTAAAATAAATTAGTCACACAGAATGTTTATAGTTCCCGTACGTTGTCACAGTAAGTCTGATGGTGTGGCAATGACCTTGACCCACGATAGTGTTCAATATTTAAGGTTGATATGTCACGTAAGCTCACAGTAAGTCTGAATGGTGTATAATGAACTTGACCCAAAATAGTGAACATTAACTAACAGCTTACTAGGAACGATATCTATGTTGATCGTGATCCAATATAATTACCAATGTGACTAAATAATAACCGTGTCATAGATTCCAGTTCTAACAGAATTAGAAAAAGTTTACAATGTAGAAAACGTATAATGACATTTTGCACACAGACAGATGTTTTAATTTTATTTTTAAACACACGTGATTTATTCGGTTTAATAGTAATTGAAAATATTTGGCACAGGAGAACATTTTTGAATCCCCTTTCAAACACAGTACGCCCCACGTGATTCAAATACTAATATATGGTAGTCAGATTCCATATAAAATGTCGAAGCCCAGGAAGAGTCCGAGTAAAAGCGTTGACTTGAAACCCATAGACATATATTTGTAAACTTCGCATATTTTTGAAAGAATAATAATTTGTAATCGGAAAGTGTGTTCATGTATTTCTATATATGATTGCGGTGTAATTGTGTTTTGGGGATTAGATAAACAGTAATTTAATTGCATTTCTATTTAGGATTGAATTTTATTTAAATTTATTCAAATTTTTAGTGTATTCCTATGGGGGAATTGCAATTAATTGAGTTTAATTATGTAAAACTATTTGTCAGACTACAGGACATTAAGTATACGTGTAATTTTTACAACGGTCATATCGTCACATTACTCTATAATTTTCTCGAGTCGAGTTAGAGTGCAATCTCCTTGTCAGTGTTTATTAACAAGACCCAGGACTCAGTCACAGTCTCCTCCGGTCATCAAATCACTCTAGAGACTGGGCTTAGTAAGGGAGTTGTGAGGGTTTGTTTTTTCCAGCTTATCAGTCATTGTTTGTCTGCTCAAAGAAGTTGCATACCACAGTTATGCAGCAATCTTCACGTCAGACAATATGTAACTTTGAACAACAGTGGATACTGAAATGGGTTAGTTTAAATTAAATACACGATTAAACATTAATTATTTACTTACTTCAAATCTGCCGTCAAAACACAATAGATTTTTTGGAAGCCATCCAACTACCAACGACTTAGCCGAAACCGCGACTTACTGAGGCTCGACTTAGCGAGGGTCACTGTTTTTAAACCAAAAATGTATTACAACGTTCTGTGCTGTATCACGTTAGTTAGGTTATTAAAAACCGAGAAAATAATATAAGTGATATTGTAATAGTCCTTTTTCAATTTTTAAATCAGTTTACTATGCACGTGTCATGTCAATGACAACAATTTTAGTTAAGTGGTTTGTCGGCCATTTTGAATTTACGACAAAATTGCATAAACAAATGTTAACTTGACTTTTTTTTACGATTCGCATCAAAATGTTTGGTGAATGGTCAAGTTGAGCTCTCTTGTAGAAATTGGTCATGAGATTTGGCAGCCATATTGAATTAATAGATATTAGCATATGATTTTTTTCTGGAATTGCTTGATCAATCAATCTGAAATTACGTGTATATATTCTATATACCTTATTACTCTGAACATATTACCCGATCTCGTGCTTTGACTGCCATATCGGGTGTATGTCTACACACTAGAAATCTTGTAGTATAAGAGCACCTCTTCATGTGTTGTAACTTATAATGCAATAGGCCTGATGGCCATGGCGAACAATATTGCTACTACCACCACTTCTATCCCACCACCCCGACACATACACGTGGAATGTCACTGTATTATTATGGCTTATATTCCGTTTTTAGAAGATGAAAAGTAAGCAATAATAGTTTACATATATTATATGTAGGATTCTGAGTAGATGGGCAATTATCTGCTAAAATTTAAATATACATACATGTGTAAAGAA